CCGGGATTGTCGGAAGAGGGAGGTGGCAGGAACACGAGAAGCTAGCGAGGGGGTGATTCTATATCTCTTTCATGTCCAGCTTAAAGTCAGGAGGCAAAAATCTTCTACAAACATATCAATTCATGAAAAATAAAGGCATTCTCTTCCAGCCTACAAAATGCTTAGATTAGAACAGTAAACAACCAGTTGAAAGGATTTTGTCCTACATAGGCATTATAATTTTCTAAAACCTTGAGCCAAATAAATATACAAGACTAAATTAAAGAAATGGACCCTCTCAATGTACCTCCATCAGACTCTGGATCCAACAAGCAAACATCTATTCAATAACAGGGTTATTAACAGGGAGCTTTCAAGACGTCCTTACTAGGCGCCATAGGACCCAGACTGAGTGCAGGGACAGAGGAAAGTCTGTGCATACCCATGAGCACATTCTCGCGGTTTCCAAATCGGAATGCAGAAATGACACCAGCGGGAGAAGCTGCTGTTTAAGACACAAAATCGGAAGCCGTAATAATTTGTAATGGCTTCAGTTACCACGTACAATGGGAAAATGACAAATGTGTCGCTTAGAACGTGCCAGACCAAATACAATGACTTATATATTAATACGAACAGATTCTTCCTGGCTTATTATGCAAAGGAAGGGAGGGTGTGACCACTTGAATTAAATAAAAGGGCCGGCCACTGTTTTTAACTTCTGGAACGTTTCAAATTCTAATATGTTCTTAGATGGACCCAGGGGGATGCTGAGACTGGAATGACCCTGCTTAATTTTTATCGAGATGCAACATACACATACACACGCACATCCCAGCAGCACCTGGATGCCCTGTGTTCTGCTACCCGCAGACTTCAGGACTCAGAACACAATTGAGTGAGGCAGGTTGATTTTGAGTGTTCCCAGGTTGTTGCTGTGCACACAATCCTATTGTCATTTTCTCATTTACTCTGGAATGGCACCAGGGTTGGTGTTCTTGGGTTGAGGGATGGCAGTCAAGTTCTCATCAGTACAATGTGTAACCCATCAATTTCTTGATCCAGTAGGAGGCTACACAGAGCGCCAAGATTCTTGTCTCCCAATCCTTAGCCAACTTTCCTCACTCTGCTTTAAATGAAAGCAACTCCAAAAGAACAAGAAAACATCTGATTAGACATTCTAAATGCCTTCTGTGTAGCACATTCTGAGCAAATCGCAGACTGAGCTGGCAGGGGTCTTGGGCAGCCCCTGGTCCCTCCACACTACGACACAGAGAGGGTCAGTGACAGGTCCAAGGTCACACAGCAAGCATGATGCAGAGCCCAATGCGGCATCCCTGATCTGTGCACTCCTTGGCCAATTTATCAAGCATTTTTGTCTGCAAATCTTTGAAAGGTCTACTCTTTTATTATTATTAGTTTGGCTCCTGTTCCCTCCAGATAGATTTTTCAAAAATCAAACGTTTCAACATAATTGCAAATAGTAAATGGCTTGCCATATCTGGACCTGTCTCTGCTGATTTAGCAAATAGGCTTCAGGAGAGAGACAGAGCCCCACCTGATCGGAGCACAGAGGATAAAATCCTCGCTGAACTGCTCTGGGCAACAGGGGATACTTGACTCTCCAGAGAGACAAGCGGAGAAAACTTCATATGTTCAATCTCCTCTCTTCACGGGGAAGAGGTGACCCTCTCTGATTCATAAACTCTTATGTACTTGATTCCTAAAATTTAATTTTCTTTTTATTATACACACACCCACATACACACACTCTTAATCTCTCCTTTGGGAAGCTCAGAGGATCTTTTCCCCCTCTTTCTACCTGCAGAAGAAAAATAAAGATTTTAAGATTGAAAACACATCTCCTTAATAGCCAAAACATGGAAACAACCTAAGTGTCTGCTGACAGACGAATGGAGAAAGTAAATGTGGCATATACATATACATAATGGAATATTATTCAGCCATAGAAAGAAGGAAATCCTGCCATTTGTGACAACTTGGATGAACCCGGAGGACATTATACTAAGTGAAATAAGTCAGACACAGAAAGACAAATACTGTATGATCCCACTTATATGTGGAATTTTAAAAAGTCAAACTCACAGAAGCAGAGAGTAGAATGGTCGTTGCCAAGGGCTGGGAGATGGGGGAAATGGGGAGATATTGGTCAAAGGGTACAAATTCTAAGATGAGTAAGTTCTAGGGATCTAATGCACAGCATGGTGACTATAGTTAATAATTCTGTATTGTATACTTGAAATTCGCTAAGAGAATTACATCTTAAGTGTTCTCACCACAAAAATAAGACAACTATGTAAGGTGATGGATATGTTAATTAGCTTGATTATGGTAATCATTTTACAACGCATAGGTATATCAAATCCTCACATAGTACACCTTAAATATATACAATTTTTATTTGTCAGTTATGCCTCAAGAAAGCTGGAAGGAGGAAGCAATAAATAAATAGACAAATACATAAAATAAAATTGAAGAAGAAATAAAAAGAAAACACGTCTTGTACTAAACGCAACGTGATATCCTGGAGCAGAAGAAGGGCATTAGCAGAAAAATTGGTGGCATGTGAATAAAGTCTGAAGTTCAGTTAATAGGAATGCACCTTTATCATAAAATCCCTGACACGGTGCCCTGCTGCACGGTAGCTGATAGAGAGGGAGCGGGAGTGGAGAAATCCCGGTTAAAGGCAGTCTGTACCTAGTAGAGGAGCCAGCGCCCTTTTGGCTTCCAGTTAAGGACTTAACTCCCTTAATTTTGTGGAAATGTGTCAACGGCTCCAGGTGCTCTTCTAAACCATCCCTGAAACTGTCTGCCCTTCCTGCGACCCGGAGGCGCTCGCTGCGGAGGCCACAGAGATGAGGTCCCGCCTCCTCCGTTTTAAATTCCACCCATGGAAAGTCTGTCCCCTTCTCCCCCTGGAGTTAAGGTGAAACAAAGCCGCACTCATTTTGCCTGTTGCTTCTGAAAGGTCCAAAGGGGTGTATTCTGGGCAGGTTATGTGTCTGGCGTTGGCCGGAGGAGGGACATCCCTGAGGGCAGGAGCTCACTGTGCCTTAGCAGACATCGCCTCGGTAGAAAAAGTGACAGTCAGGGACGAAGGGGCTGCTCAGCTCACACGAGCTCCCAGGCGGCCAGTTCTGCTCCATCAACCTCTCCTTCCTGCCAGGATTAGTTCTGGGGCCTCAAAACCTACGCCATGGAGAGTTTAGGATTTAGTCTGGAAGCACCAAGAGTCAATAAACAGCTGAGGCCTGGTGCTGCTCTGAGTCACAGAGTAACAGTAGGTGGTGTAGTTGAGGGAGGTTGGACAGGAGAGCAGAGCATCATTGACCGTGGGGGAGGGCCCAACTGGAACTCCCAGCCAAGCAGCTTCAGCCTTACAGGGGTGGCTGATCTGGGGTGCGAAGCGAGAGGACAGTCCGAGTTTTTATGCACAGGTTACTTAAGGCCTTCCATAAGTCTATCACCTTGTGATGATTAAGTTACCCAAGTCTTTTTAAATTGCCACTAAAATTGAATCCACGTTTATAAATGACCATTTGGAGCAAGGATCTTTAGAGTATAAATTTATCATCTGGGAACTCCAGACCTTTTAGGGTCAAAGGCTAATGGACTGTTTCTTTATATGGAAGATAAATGGAATGTCAGATAAAGGGAAAAGACTGATTCGGGGGGGAGACAGAGAGGAGGATGGGCGCATGGAAACCCACAAGGAGCTTTGTCTGCTGCACCCCCAAACAATATAAACGGATCAGCCTTTTTCCAGAGGCAGCAAAGAAGTTTCCAAAACCCTCAGGGGCCTCCCCAAGGGGCAGATGGGTTGGGAAGCAAATGAAGGAAGCCAAGGTCGGAGATGAGATGGTCACGTCCCAGGTGAACAGGCAGAAAGTGGGCTCAAGACGCACCTGACCACAGGTCACTGAACAGCACACAGGAAGGAGTCCTGGACCTCTGTCACCTGTTTTCCCAGCAGGAAGCAGGCTCTGGGCTGGAGTTCAAAACCCCTGCACTGAGAAGGACCCAGGGTGCAGGCAAGAGGTGGGGTGATGAGAAGTTGGGGCATAGGAGCATCTTCCCTGCAGAAGTAGAGGGTGTTACTATTCCCTTCCCCGAAACTCTTCACTTCCTGCACACGAAGGGGTGTGTGTGTGTGTGTGTGTGTGTGTGTACACCTGTAAAGGATCCTTGAAGCCACATGTAGACCAAACACTATCCATCTCATACTCCAACTGGTTTTCAACAGCCCTGGGCGAGAGACTAGCAAACACGCACATTCCTTTAAACAGCAGGATGAAATCTCTAGCAGCTTGTAGTCATGAGGTTCTTTTTCTCAATTACACAAAAATTACAACTACTCTCAAGGGGGTGGGGGATTTATTCTTGACATTCTGGTAAGGGCGTGATTTACAACAAGCTTAGGGACACCGATCTGGTCCAACTGCCCCATATTCCAAGTGGAGAACCAGACGTTCTGAGAGGGAAAGTGACTTGTCCCAGGACACACAGCCCGGTCCATAAACAGCAGGGTCAGGCCAGACCTCTGTGAACCACCAGAACAGCCTCCTTGGACCACTTTGTTGCTAATGAAACTTTCTTTCAGGGACAAAAGCCTACAGAAAATCAGACGGACAGCAGCAGAAGCGGAGGCCACCCACTGATTACTAACCATATGCCAAGTGCAGACCTTCTCTCTTTTAATGCTCATAAGAATCCACAGCCCTGTTCACACTTTGTGATCATACATCTGCCCCAGATTTGATAATGTCTGTCTGCCACACACTAGTCTTGATGCCCCATGAAGGCAGGGTCCATGTCTATTTTGCTCTTCACTATATTCCCAGTGCCTGGCAAAAACTAGATATTCCTATTTTAAAGAAACATTTTAATCCCTTGACCAGAAAGGTCAAGGGATTTGCCCAAGGACACACAGCACGGAGCTACTGCCACCATGAGGCGGTGCACCACTCTGCCGCATACTCGTCCCCAAACCAGAGCCCTACCTTGACGGCCTCAGCGTGGGTCACCCGGGCCAGGGATTTATCGTTGACACGCAGAATCTGGTCCCCGACTCGCAGCCCCTCCTTCTCGGCCAGAGAGCCTGGCTCCACCAGCGACACGTAGATGCCCACGCCGTGCTCCGAGCCCCCGCGAATGCTGAAGCCCAAGCCCTCGTGGGCCTTGGCGCGCCGCAGGCTCACCAGGCGCACCTCCCCGGGCCCCGCGCCGTCGGGGGCGCCCCAGGCGGCCTGCCTGTAGGGGGTGGTGGCGGGCAGGTAGAGGCCCTCGGCCGTGTACTGGTCGAAGAGCAGCTGGTCGGAGCGCGGGATGACCAGACGCAGCATGGGCAGCAGGCGCCGCTTGCCCGGGCTGTCCAGCAGCACGCGCAGGGTGCGCACCAGGTCGAAGACGTTGCGGCGCGCGTGGTACGCGTTCAGGCAGTGCGTGAACTGCTCCCGCTCCGCCTCGCTCAGCAGCGCCGTCAGCGCCTGGTGCAGCTGGCGCACGTTGGCAGACAGCAGCCGCAGCCCCGCGCCCCCGCCGCCGCCCGGCCCGGCCGCCGAGCCCAGCGAGCCGGTGGAGGACGAGCTCACCGACAGGCCGTCCAGCGGCGCGTTCATCTCCCCGCCGAGGCCCCGGCGGGCTCAGGGCGCGCGGTGGGGCAGCGGCCGCACTCGCCGTCCCCGGCGCGACAGCTGGATCCCGGGGAGCGCGGAGATCGCGGCCGGAGTCTGGGTTTGGGGGCGCAGGGGGTGGCGCGGAGCGGGGGCTGGATCCGGGGAGCGCGGAGATCGCGGCTCGAGTCTGGGTTTGGGGGGCGCGGAAACAGTGCCTGAATCCTGGGGGGATCGCGGAGACCGCTGCTGGAGTCCCGGGAGCGCGAAGATGGAGGAGGTCGCGAAACTGAAGTCCGTGGGGCGCAGAGACGGCGGCGGGAATCCGGGCAACGCGGAGACGGCGGCGAGGTCCCCGGGGGACAAGGAGTTGGCAGCTGGAGCCCGGAGGTCGCGGAGACTGCGGCTGGAGCCCGGGGGACGCAGAGACAGCAGCTACATTCTGGAGCGCACAGGGACGACGGGTGGCCGGAGTGGGGGGCGCAGCAAAGCTGACCGCCCCGTCACACCATGCCTGGGGCTCCCCCAGCAGGCCCGCCCGTTCCTCTCGGGCTGGGGGACCCCAAAGTCAGAAGTTGGGGTGGGGGCGCTCTAGTCCCAGAGCCCCCCGAATCGCAGCCGGTGGAGCCGCGCGGGCGTCCGGCGGGGGTTGCGGGGCATGTCCGGGGCAGCCCTGGGATGCAGCAGCCCGGGGCCCCCCGCGCCCCTGTGCCGCCCGGGCGCAGACGGAGCCGCGCGGCCGCGAGCCCAGACTTTGCGAACTGTTGAGCTGCCCGGGGCCGATCTTCCAGCGAGTTCCGACGCCGTCGCTGTCGCCAGCCCAGACTTGGCCCCGCCCCCGTGCCCCTCCCCCTCTCCCGCCCCCTCCCCCCGCGGGCTCTTCAGGAAATGACGTCCCGCATCGCGCCTGGCGGTTGCCTGGAGACAGGGTGAAACAGTCCAGCCCCGGGGAAGAGAGGGGTGAAAGTGGGGGTAGGGGTGGGAGGAGCCTTGGGGTCGCTGGGAGCCCCCCCCACTTCTCCAGCCACGCAGGGGGAAGGTTGAAAAATTTTGCTCTTCCGCGATCCAAGTGTGTGCATCAGGATCGCTTTGGAGCAATTAGGCAGCTAACTAATTCGGAATGCGGGGGGCGGGAGGGAATCGCCAACTTTTTCCCTCTAAAATACTGAACGCTCCAGGCTCGGTTTTCTACCTGTTATTAACAGGTTGCGCTCCCCTCTTGCGCGCACGGACATGCAAGTTCAGGTGTTTGTGTGGACTATTGTTGGGCACCTAGTGTGTGCAAGAGAGAGATGCAAGTATATACCGGTGCCTTCGGGAGCCAACTCCTGTGCAGAGGTAGATCAGACTGGACGCCTGCCTGGTCTCCAGTAGGCGGGAAAGCCGTTTTCAGAAATATAAAGTGTACACAACACACACGCACACACAAATATGTGCATATAAAACTGGTGAAATCTGAATAAGGTGGGTGGATCGTATCAGTGTCAATGTCTTGGTTGTGATCTTGTCAACGTAGGGGGAAACTGGGTGAAGGGTATGTGGGGTGTCTATGTATTAACTCTTACAACTGCATGAGAACCTACAATTACCTCAAAATAAAACTTTCAAAAATATATACGAACTGGGTAAGGAAAAAAGTATTCTATGCCTTCCTATCCCAAGACAAAATGGGAGAATATTCCAAGGAGTGATCTAGCACCTCTCATCTCCCACCCCGCTCCCCCAAATACAATCTAAGCGAAAGCCCTGTGCTTTTATTCAAAGGGGCCTTTCTCAGGAGCCCGGTAGTGCCCCCCCCATACACACACCTCACATATATCCCTTCTAACCCGAATTGCCTCTCCTAAACTATTTTCATATAGAAATCTATATTTTCCCTAAAAATATTCTGGAATTGCCACTGCAGAACCATCTGACTTCTGTCTGGGGGAGGGAAAGATTGGATGTCACCTGAGGAGTAGGTTTGAGCTGGACCCAGAAAGATGGAGCATTCGCCTATTCATTCATTTATTTATCCATTTACTTATTTATTCACGCTTTACCCAACATTTTCCAAGCATCTGTTCTGTGCTGGGTCATGCGCTGGGTGCTGGAAACCCTGGTTAAAAAGACGAACTTTCTGACCCCAGGAGGTCACAGTTTAGCAGGGGAGAAAGACCACATTCATAAATAAAGTTAAAAACCAGTATGATAAGTGTTGTAATGGCTGAGAGATCCAGGTTTAGGGGAGGGGAAAATGGTAAGGACTTTATCCATCAAAGAGGTGACACCTGAATGAAGACCCCCTAGGGAGAATTGACTTGCTTTTCTGGACATGGGGGAACCATGAAAAGATTTTCAACTGTTAGCTTAGTGCATTCCCAAAACTGAGGCTAGGAATTGAAGCTCTATTTTCCCCCAAAAGCTTCAATTCTCTTCTTCACTTCCCTAAAACAGATTCAGGCTAAATTAATGCCCAGTGGATGTATTTGACAGGGTGTTTTAAATAACCAGTTAAGCTACCTTTGGACAACTATCTTACAGCTCAACATTTAGCAATTAATAATGTGTATCCTTCTTCCTGCTCTTAACTGCCTTTGAAGGCTTTGATGCAACTAGCCAAATATATTTCAGAAAAGAATCAATCTCCCTCACCCCCAAAAGATATTAATGGCGTACCTCAAAAATGCCACCAAGTAGGGCTTAATTGTATGCAGTTCAGGTTTTCTGAAAGTGTATTTCATGCTTAGCTTTCACTTAGTTTGTGTTCTAATTATAATTACTGTGATTGGCTTGATAAATGCCTCCCAGGAGTTGAGATCCCCATTCCCAACATTTTCTTGCTGTGCAAAGGATGTTTGCAAAAAGGTATTTAGCCTTAGGCAGCAGAAACTACGTGGCACATATGTGTTAGTAGAGAAAGAAACACTTTCTTCTGCAAACATCAGAGGCCATCTGGGATGCTGTGCTGTTTAATTTCATAGAGGCCGATTTGGGAGGGCAGACAAGTACTAGAACATGGAAAAAGCACTCACTGGGGTTTCTCCCATCCATCTTGCATAAACCCTTAGTGTCAGTTTGCACTGTGTACCCTCTGATGACAGACGGTGTGTAACTGTGCTCAAACCTCAAGAATCCTAATTCATGTCTGAAGATGTGTTTTTCGTCCAGAAATAAGCTCTCGGAAATCCAAGATGCCTGGGCTCCTGACAACTGCACTGCCCCCAGCCTTCAAGATCTGGAAGGAAACTCTGACTATAGGAGCAGAGCTGGCCTTGGGTGCACACTGCCCTCTTCAGAAGGAAAATATTATTCCCCTGTGTGTGCTGCCGGCTTCCCTTTGCTGTCTTCACCAAAGCCACTGTCCACAGTTCATTGTTGTTCCCCGACTGTGGCAAATCAATGCCCTTCTCCTATGGGTGTTCCTGGAAACTTGGACACATTGGATCAGTTGAAAAGACAGAGGGAACAAGAGGGAATTGTACTCAACTTAGAAGTGCTTTTGTGCTGAACTGGATTTTTGTTTGTTGTTTTTTCCTTATGTGTTTGTTTTAACCAAGAGACAACATATTGACTTGTTCTCTGAACATCAGGCAGAAAACCATTATTCTAGTCTCAGCAAGTCCCTTTACTAGTTGAGTGACCCATAGCAAACGGCTTCTCTTCTCATCTGTAATGGGGTTTCTAAACCTTCTCTGTCTCCCCAGAGGGCAGCTGCAAGCAACACAGACCATGCAGTAAATGAAAGCACACTGCAACTCATAGAGTGTCATAAAGTTGTTAATTATTTTCTCCTCTTTTTTATGGCGATCTTAAAAAGCCTTTTGTTATTTCATAGTCATTTGGAGCTTCTCCCCTCTGCTCTTATCCACTGGAATGTGTCCTCAGAAGGCAATAGAGATTAATTTAATTTGAGATGCATTTCCCAAGGGACATATAGGAAACTATAGCTAATATTTAATATTTAATAGCTAATATAAACACTTGTATTTTAACTCACTCAACCCCAGCCGCTCTGTAAAGAGAGATACCGTCATTAGTATCATCATCCTAGTAAAACAGATGGGACACTGAGCCATAGGGATGTAACTATCCCCAAGGTTACAGAGTAGTTGCTGGAAGAGTTGGGACTTGAACCCAGGTAGTCTGGCTCCCGAGTTCTTACTCAACCACTATGCTATGCAGCATTCCCAATGTTCGGCTCAAAGATGCTAAAAGGTTCCAGATGGAAATGGTGTGAAGACCACATTTTCTCCAAAGTTGGGCTGGGAACATCAGAGGTTAAAAACAAGCCACGTAGTGATGATTCCTGGTTGGTAAGCTGACATTTTGTGGTGGAAAGAATGAGCAGGGGTTTGATAAAGAAGACATCCTTGAGAGAGACGGAGATGGAGAAGACTAGGGGGACCCCAGGGGCTCTCAGCCTGGACACAGGAGGAGGCGGCTCAAAGCTATCTGATGCGGGGTGTCATAGGGAGCCTTTCCGGGCTCTGGGATCCCTCGAGAAAGGGGGTTAGCAGCTGGAGTTATCACTTCTGCTCCAGGACCACAGCCTGTCTCTTCCCTGCGGTGTCACGGGGATGGTATCAGCAGAGAGGGGGAAAGCGTTCGCCTCTATGGCTGGTAGATAATGCAGACAATATTGATGGAAGTGCGGGGAGATAAGAAAGGCGAGAAACAGAGAAAGCACAAAAACATCAGGAGAAGAGGAGAGATACAGGTATTTATCTTGGCCTGTGTGTAATCTCCGGTCTGTGTCATGGTCACGGAGAATCACGCGATGTTTGTGCTGGAAGGGCGTTAGAGCACAGAGTTGGTCTCCAGGTTCAAATCCCATCTCTGGTATTCACTACCTGTGTGACCTTGGGCAAGTCGTGGAGGGGCTTTTGTGCCTGAGTACCCTTACCTCTAAAATGGGGACAGTGGCGTTATCATCTGCGCTGTTATGTGTACTGGTTGAGCTCCTGAGTACAAAGTGTTTGTCACCCTGCCTGGCACGTTCCAGGTGCTCCCATGATGCTTGCATCCATCTTGGTTAAAGCTCTTACCACAGGGAGACCCTCAAGAACA